GGTATACATGTATGCGTTAAAATACGTGACTGCGTGGAACGGGGATTAAAGAGAGCAACTGCAAAATTAAACAAGTGAAAGTGGTACCAAAAATAGATTTAATAATTGCTTACTTCACTGAAAATTAAGCAAAAAACTTCTGATTTCTTGGTCATTTTATCGAAGCATAATTAGAAATAATGTATTAACTATTTGTTCTGACACATTCTAAATGAAAAAATCTTAACGTATATACAAGTCAGTGATATGTGTGAACAAACAATGCACACACTTGCATTACAAATCCAACAAAGTATTCAAATTATTTTGTTTCAAAAGCCTTTAAGTTAGATTTAAGAGTACAAAGATAGGACGCTATGTTTAGTTCGGGAGGAAGTTAGTAATATGATACGCAAGATATTGACCTTCTAACGATTCATTAGCTCTTTTGGAATGTCATTAATTTTATTTAAGCAGAAACAGCTATCCTCGCTATGTTCAAGATTACAGGCTCGATGTGGGGATGCGTCACAGCAAATAATTTCTGTAAACAAAATTGAATCGTTTAGAATCATTAAATTCAAAAATACGAATTTTAGGCTGCAGCCACATTTTGTTTTTCTACGTTTATCAATCTGACATTTATCTATTAAAGTTCTTTTTTATTTATCTATTCTTATACTCCACTTCCCCCACTAATGTTTTTGAATGTTGAATTAAATCAAGTCTATAGGTTGTTATTTAATACTTTATAAGACCTGCGCTCTATGAAATGATTCATGGGTTCAGGCCCTTACCATGCATATCTATAAATTCCGCATTTCAATATCAGTTTCATTTTTTATATATAATAATTTCGTTTTCTTTGTATAATAATTTCGTTTTTTTAACTACATAATTTTGTTTTCTTTTTTAAATAATTTTGTTATTATTTATATAATAATTTATTTCTAGTTTGCACTAATGTGCTTCGGTAGTTTTCTGATCACGTTTTGTAGTGTTAATGATAGTTACAAATATCAAATGAAACTATTCTTACCAGTTTTCGAGCACCAAAGTCTTCATACCCTCTATCGTTACAAATTTATCAATAACATAGAGTACTGAACGTTTCTAATACATAAGAAGCATTGAAAACAAAACGGCAAGGAAAATGTGGCTTTTCCCCTTTTCATTAGTACAAAACAACCTTTCTATGTGGCTGTTAAAGCAATGTCACATAATATGTTTATTATCTATTGAGACTAATTCGTTTTTCATTTCCTACCCTCAAGATGCAGTCTTAGATAATTCTACATGAGTACTTTTACTCTTTTTAATTGGGGCTGTTCCTTTGCCATTTGATATGTAATTTAATTGCTTATACAAGTATAAAGACCTTGTAAATTTAGACTTTTGCGCGATGGCAATGCAGGTAACTGCAATGTATTCGAAGTGGGTATTAGTTGGGTTTGTGATCTCTCTGTATGAAACCGATTGCCATCCTTCTATTATTGGGAACAATTCATTAGACAATACCCAGTCCCTTCAGGATACTACGTCCTGGAAAGGTTTCAAGTGTTCTTAGGGATATTTTAAATCAGGAAAGTTTGGTGCGCCTCTCTATGATACAGAAAATTCAAATATTAATGATGGATGTCATAGGCAACAGAAATATAACTGAAAGTTTGATGAAAAGGCTGGATTTCATGACAGAAAAAAATCATGTCTTAGAGAAAAGACAGAGGAAAACTGAAGAGGAGAATACAAGATTTAAGGAGGAATTAAAATTTTTACGTTCCACAATAGGTATCACTAGAGATTCTACAGATGACAGTGTTACACTTAAATGAGACAGAAATACCAATAATGAAGAAGCAAACTTCGTCTCCACAGAGAGAAAAACACCAGTTAACTCGGGAAAATACAGAAATAAGAGCACAAGTGGAGGGTTTTATCAGGAAATACATAGATGAACGAATCGGGGAACTTGATTTCGAAAGTTTGAAAAATGAAAGTTTGTTTCTTGGAAAGATATATGAAGGTCTGTCACTCGGATTCGAAAAAATGCAAGAAAGGTTATTTCAAATGAACAAAACAATAAACGAAGATAGAAATGCAAATGACTTAAATGCTTGGTTATTGACAGGCCAGGGAAACTTGATGACTTTTTCTTCTTTCGTCAACCGAACAACGGAACATATTTTTCAGGAGCAAAACAACGTTTCTCAGAACTTAAAGAATATTTCTGCACAATTGTCAGGTAACAACACTTTCTTTATTTACACCGGGTCAATATTTACTATGAAAATATTATGAACTAAAGTAATAAACATGCTTAGTTTTAGTAAAGTCAAATCGGTCAATATTTGATAATCGGTTACTCGGACATTTTCTCTGATTGGGTACCCGGGTACACGGGTACTCGGTAAAATGGTAAATACATGTACAAGTCTGTTAATTTTGTATAACTCAGTTCAGCTGTGTTAAACCCAAATGTTGTTTTACACTTGAGAAAGATTGCCAAATACTCACACAAAGACATCAATTTGATACACCAATAATTATAAATTATTTGCATTTTTTGTTTGGAAAGAGGTTTTAATCAATCTGCTACGCATCTTTTTAATGATCACACTAGCGAAGCAGGAGGAATGGTCGTCGTTGGGATCGCTTGTAGAATATTATTATTGTATTCCCTGTATACGCTCAATTTACTCCGCTTAGCTGACTTTAAACAATTTTTTTAATCTTCAATTACATGTATTACATGTACCAAGATATTTAATTTCTTTAAGTCGGTAGCGGCATACCTATGCATGTGATTTCGGTACCGTTTCACTAATTAATTCAAAAATTATTTAAAGATAACAGAACATACTTAAACGATCCTCAATAAAAGAATTATTGAAGTCATTCAAAAATAAAAGAACCGCAATACGTGAGAAAAGCAGGTGATTGGTCACTAATTACTGTATATATACAGCCACAGGCGATAACAGGTGTTTTACAGGTGTAGACGACGACCCGCTAATTATTATATGCACATTTCAGTTATTCTTTGATAAACATTTTGATAAATATATGTACTTTGGATAGATATATATTTTTTTAAAATTCCTTCAATGTTTTACACTTACTCAAGTGTAGTATTTGGTAGAGAACACACCTATAATTTTGAAAATACCATTGTCTATACGTACAGCTCGGCACACTTTTTAAGCTCACCTGGCTTTTCGCACAAAATGATATAACAAGTAATTTGCTTTGGTAGCTATAACATAACTAGTTTGCTGTAAAATACGATTTTTGTTTTTAATTAAATCATGTGTTCCCTGCATCTTTTTCAGAGAGATTGTCTCCTCCAACAAAGAACTCCATTGCATTCTACGCGTACATGTCTCAGAACACTCCAACAATATCTGTTCAATAGTCTTTGATATTTGATGTAGTGAAAACAAACGCTGGGAACGGCTACCATTCCGCTACGGGAGTATTTGTTGTTCCAGAAACTGGGTTGTATGTATTCACTTGGACAATACGGGTTTGGTGATATTCATCACTCAACAGAGGCGATGGTTGATACAGATGTACTGGGGGTAATTCACGTCAATGCAGGTATTGGAGGAGATCTTGGAGGAACAGGAATTGTTGTTGCACACGTCAATGCAGGAGATGATATCTTTGTGCGCACGTATGCATCATATAATAAAGGCCCTATTATTAGTGGCGCTGCAGGAAGATCGTTCTTTGCAGGATGGAAACTATTCTAAATAGAAATAATAACTGATATCGAAGGAATACCTAAGATAATCCCTGTGTATCACACAAACGAGAGTCTAAAGTGACAATCTTTCTCAAGTGTAAAAATAAAAACATCACTGGAAACATTTCTACGGGGGATGTCCAAAAGTTATTGGACAACTGCTTCATTTTCTTAATAAAGCCCACAATGGGAAGCATTTACGATAATATATTAATATAGACCAAATTTTGGTAAATATACAAAAGAATTAAACAATACACACTATATAATGAATATTATAGGCTTAAAAACTTTGTATATGCAAGCAACACGGGCCAGTCTGACGTAACGCTAACTTTATGATAACGTCAAAAATATGGATTTTGATTTTTTTTTTCGCATGTTCATAGACACGCGCTAATAATTGATTTGATATCTAAAATTAAAACAATATAGACGATAATTTACGGGCTTCTTTCATATAATCTAGTCTGCACAGCCCTGTCCAACGGCGCTAGATTTATAACAATGTCATGAATAGGGATACCCTCTTTACATCAAACAACAGTTATTTTCCACTTCTTGTAGTGTCTTTACAAATCATTGAAAAAGCGTATAAATCAGTTATAAAGCAACAAAATATATAAAAGTTGTTTGAATAAATATTTGGTGTCTGGCGTCGGTTCAACCATATGAAATCATAACTATATGATTGGATGCTGTCCAGTTCGGAATGGCCGACTTCGCTTATTCTGTCAATTCTGACAAAGGAATAATGTCAATTATCTGGGCTTGGCAAATTGTTCCCACACTCTAAACAAATGCATTGGAATTTGCAGTTTTCAAGCTTGCATAGCCCTTCCCTATTATATGGCTAGCAAATTTCTATGGAGATTTGCTTCTCTCTTTTTTTTTGAAAGCCTTAGTCTAAACCTTGATCAGAAGGGGGAGATGGAAAGACCTGTAGCTTCCTCTCTAGATCCCTGTGTTTAAATGCCTGAAGCACAAATTACACACTAACCATTACCTAAGACATACCTTTCAACTTGTCTATATATCCTAATTTGTTAATCAACAGTTTGTCAAGGTTTACTTCTAGATGATGCCAAATCATGACTTGTCTCTGCATGATTTACACAAAACTGTGTTTCATTTGGGAATTTTCTAGTATAGACAGAAATTAAATGCAAAGATTGCTGTTTTCCACTGAAATATAGTATTGATTGTTTGATCTGTATTTCTGGGTGCTACTGAAATGTTAGAGTTAAAATCAATGTGTACCCATTATTTTGGTGGTAGGCACAAGACTGACAAAAGGTGGTGCTCCAAGGTCAATATATTGCTCTTCCTAAGTCTTTTGTTAAAGCATTTATGGAATCAGTGCTAAAAAAAAAATGATCCCTGAAGAAGAAATATTAAATGGTACCAGTTTTAGTCCCAGGTTTTTGTTTGTTTGTTTGTTTGTTTGTTTTTTTTAAATAAACCCTGCCAATTTCTTTGTGCTAAATCATAAACAAGTCCACCGTAATGAAATTTACAATTGAAAATGCAATGTTGGTTAATGATTAGAAGCTTTAGCAAAAATTTATGCTACAAGCTCTCGATTCATTCAATATAGTTATTACCATGTGTATATATATATATATATATATATATATATATATATATATATATATATATATATATATATATATATATATATATATATATATATGTACCTATAGCTATATGTCCACACTCTTAAACAGAGAGGTACTTCCTATTACAAATATACAAGTCACTATGTTCTAACCTAACCATCCATCAAGGATTAATAAATGTACAAAACAATCAGTAGACAGCAAATTATTGTACTCATACACAAGCAATATATCTTCCTAACCTGACAGGGCTAAGCTAGCTATGTATATCAAACCATACAGGATATGTCAAATGAATTGCCTAAACATACAGGACACAACTAGGCTATCCCAACCTATAAGATATAGTTATAAGCATATCCAACCATAAGGGATATGTCAAACAAATTGTCTAACTACCACAAGACAAACCCGGTTATCCACATAAGGCAAACATACACCTGAGGATATGTAGAACATAAGCATGTCCAACCAAGCAGGACATGTCAAGCAGAGTGTCAAACCCAAACCATACAGGACAAATCTGGTTATCTTACAATACACGATAAAGATATTTGTAAACATATTTAAAATCATACTAGATATGTCAAATAAAGTGTTCAAGCATACTGAACAACTTCTTTTTCCAACCATTCATGATCAATAAATATTAAATAAACATTAACATAACCAACCCGACAGGATATGTCAAATAATTGTCCAACCATACAGGATTAATCCTTGATATATAATTATATATACATACATTCTCTATACAAGCATATCCAAACATACAGGATATGTCAAATAAATTATCTAACCATACAGGATAAACTCAGTTACCAAAGCATAAAGGATATAAAAATTCTGTATCTAAACCTATTCATCCAAAATTAGTTTTGAGAGATTAATGGTAATTAGTACCTTATTATCCATAGTTACGAATATTAATTTCAAGAACTTTCGCCAAAAAATGACTGAAATTATGCCGACTAGGCGTTAATCAACAAGAGACCCATGGGCCATTCGCTCACCTGAGAAGCTTTGACCATTCTGTTCTTTACCAGATTTTCCCCCTTTGAATACATACTGTGACCTCACCCTACCCCACTGATCATAATTTAGACATTTTGAAATCTACACTACCCCAGGATGCTTCCAAGTGCACATAAGTTTTAGCTTTTCTGGCCCAGTGGTTCTTGAGAAGAAGATTTGTCAAAGATTTTTCCAATATATTTCTATGTAAAACTTTGATTTCCCATTGTGGCCCCGCCCTACCCCCGGGGGTCATGATTTGAACAATTTAGAATCTACACTACCCCAGGATGCTTCCACATAATTTTCAGCTTTTCTGGCCCAGTGGTTCTTGAGAAGAAGATTTTTTAATGACCCCACCCTATTTTTGTCCTTCCTTGATTATCTCCCCTTTTGAAGGGTCTTGGCCCTTTATTTTAACAATTTAAATCCCACCTTTACCCAACAATGCTTTGTACCAAGTTTGGTCAAAATTTGCCCAGTGGTTCTTGAGGAGAAGTCGAAACTGTAAAAAGTTTACAGACGGACAGCTAGACAGACGGACAGACAGAGAGACGGACGGACGGACGACTGACAAAATGTGATCAGAAAAGCTCACTTGAGCCTGCGGCTCAGATGAGCTAAAAATCAATCGATCATTGGTTCGTTGCTTATATTTAAATTTGACTTGAATATTAAGCTTTTGAATTTTCTAACCGCATACATCCACACCACATTATTCTAGTCTAATTGAAGAATCATTCGTGAAGCACCACGGTTCTTCTCTATCAAAGTTTCGACAGAAGTTCTCTGTTGTGTGACTTAAACTACCATACCTTTGTTCGTGTGGAGTTTGTGTATCCCAGCGCTGACATGGAAGCCCGGATCTCGTCACGCTCATGGTTCCAGTGTACAAATACCCCGGTTATCTACATGTCACATTTGACTTACCTGAAAACGGCAGGCGCGGATCCAGGAATTGAAGTTAGATGGGTCGCCAAAAGTAGGCAAGGGGTATGGGGGCCGCCTTGAGGCCCCCAGTGGGTCCAGGGCAAAGCCCCCGGAAGCTCCTGGGTTCTAGAGATTTTGTAGGGTAAACATGAGGACTGCCAAGTAGACATATTTACATTTTCTAGACGAAACTGTGATTTACGTTAACTTTAACAATTTTAGGGGGCGCGCCGGTTGCTCCCCCCCTTAAATCCGCCACTGAACGGTACATCAGTTACAAATTAAATACAGGCTGTTGACAGTCCTGTTAACATATAAAATGAAAATATGCATTATTTAAGATTTGTTTTTTTTTTGTTGTTTTTAAATGTCATTTTTATTGATTTTGGTTTGTAAAACTTATCTTTTTCTAATAAGTCATTTTTTTTTCTAGCATTATGAACATAATGAACTAGGTGACAAACTTGAAAGCCGATGTCTGTCTTTTTTTTATTTCAGGAAAACATAAATCTACCAGGATATACAGATTGCAGTGTGATTAAAGGAGAGATAATTTCCCAAACTTTTTTATGTCATAAGATGCATGAAGTAATTTTAGTATAAAGGCTGAAAAGAAGAAAGAATTTCTTTGTAATTCCCAGCTTCCCTCATAAAGTGTACATGTATTTATTATCATATATTTAAAATGTTTATAAATGATTTGCCATCATATTTGCAAGACTGTATAGACTCTGTCATGTTACACTCAAAAAGTATAGACTGTTTGATATATGCAGATGATATAGTAATTTTTTCATCAACACCTGAAGGACTACAGCAAAAACTAAATTCTTTAGAAAAGTATTGTGATGATTGGGGTATGAAAGTAAATTCTAATAAAACGAAAATTATTATATTTAATAAAGCTGGGAGAACAATTAAACATAAATTTCACTACAAAAATTTCAATATTGAATGTGTATCTAGTTATAAATACCTAGGCATCTATTTCACAGCCTCTGGGATCTCTATGGCAAAAAATGAGTTATACAAAAAGGGACTTAAAGCTTTCTTCAAGTTGCGAAAAGACTTCCTTAGCTTAAATCCTGGGATATCCACTAGCCTCAATGTCTTTGATCACACAATTAAGCCTATATTACTTTATGGCTCAGAAATATGGGGAATATTTAATGTTAATAATTCAAAAATAAAGCAATCTAACCAAGTCTTGATGCAGCTATGCTACAAAAACTTTACTGGAGAAAATTTACACATCAAGTTCTGTAAAACTATATTAGGTTTGAATAGGAAAAGTATGAACCATGCTTCTCTTTCAGAACTAGGTAGATATCCTTTACACTATGATATTATCAACAGGTTACTTAAATACTGCTCAGATTAAAAATTTAAAATCAGATTTTCCTTTACTAAAAGATGCATTTATATGTAGTAAGGAACTTCATTTTGCCCAAAAAACAACTTGGTACTCCTCAATAGAAAAATTATTAAAAATTTTTGATATCCCAAACATAATGTCCTATACTAAGAGTAATTTTATGAATTCATTGAAACAATCCATGAATAAAAAATACACACTTGATTGGCAACACTTAAATGAAACACTAAAAGAGAGCAAACTTGTCACTTATTTATTTCTGAAGAACAATTTTAGACTGGAAAAATATCTAGTTTTATTAAAACCTGAATACAGAAAGCCAATTTGCAGATTACGTGTATCAGCACACATGCTATTCATAGAATTGGGCAGATATAATAACACACCCAGATCAGAAAGAATATGTAGAAATTGTATGCTTAATCAAATTGAAGATGAAAAACATTTCCTTATTCACTGTAGCAAATTTACAAAGGAAAGAGAAGAGCTATTTAACCTGATCTCATCTAAAGTAAAACATTTTACAGAATTGCCTGATAAACAAAATTTATTCTGGATTCTAAATTGTGAAGAATTAGATATACTAAATTCTCTTTTACAAAAAGCATTACCATAAGTTTTAGGAATATGACTTAATAATGTATGCATGGATAAATGATGTACCGTATTAGTGTATATATATATACCTATAAAACAATTCTTATGTACTGTACATATAAAATATTTTGGGTATTCCCCTACTTGTATATGTCTTTCCTATCAATCAAGCAACCCTTTCCCTCATGTATGTAT